AAAAAAAAAAAAAAAATATATATATATATATATATATATATATGTATATAATTTTTGGAAGAAAAGCCAAGTTTTAGCTCAGCCCATTCTCTATTAGTTGAGTATTGAATAGCTCCAAATGTTATGGGTTCATATTTTATTTACTATCTTATCACTTTCACTGAGTTCTGCAGTTTTCTTCAGGCACAAGATTCATAGTGGTATTTAACAAAATGGTTTATCACCTCAAATGGTATTATATGCCAATGTATCATAGTGAATTAATAAATGAATTTAGGTAAGGAGACAGCAATAACAATTTAAGCCATTTTCACTGTCAACACTCAGAACAAGTATGACAAACTTCATAATAAAGGAAGTAACAGTCAGAAGGGAAATCCCATAACTACTTCCGAGTTCTCAGTCCTGGCCTTGGGGGAAAATTTAAATGTGTGCCTTCTTACCTTTTCCTGGGCCAACCACTTTTCCAGAACAAGAAGCCAGACCCAGGCCAATCTTTGAGGGTTGATATTCTGCCCACATCTGAAAAAGGTGAAAATTCAAACCTTAAAAAAAAGAGTTTCTACTGACCTTTTCTTTTTTGTGATCCAAGATTTAGATTTCACTGCTCAGTCCATTTTAAAACTGAACAGGCAAGATATTGTCCTAATGAAAAATTTTCAAATGTTTATGACAGTTCAATAGAACACTATAACCAGAACAGAGCTGGCAGCTTTCATAAAAGTCTCAATCCCTAGCTAGTCTCATTTCTAAACAAAATAACCTTAATAGCAAATACTATCTAAAGTATATTTTTTTTTTCCTAAGGCAAGGCTTAAATCTTTATTCATAGCTATTAATGTGCCTACCTAGAACAGGGCAGTCATTTAGTTTACTGCAAATTAAATCTACAGATTCTGAGGCATTTTATAACAGCATTTAACTATATTTATAGTTCTAGTAAAAGTGACAAGTTTGCATACAGGGAGAGAATCACTAAAGATTGTTTCCAACTGGGTACATGCACACACAGATGTGCACACACCCATCCTCCTCCTCCTCCTTAATTTTTATTTTTGTTAGTCTTTTAAAAAAATTTTTAATTAAAACATAATTGATTGTACATGTCTATGGGGTACAGCGTAGAATATCAATACCTGTGTGCAATAGATGATCCTCAAATCAGGATAATTATCATTACACAATGTAATCATTTTTTGTGGCAATTTACCATTTCTTGCTCCTCACACTCCCTTCCCCAACTCTGGTGGCCTCAGTGTGGTTCTCTCCAAATTATTGTGATTCTTGTATCCTTCTGTTTTTTTTTAAGCTCACACTTTGAGTGAGGACATGCGGTATTTCTCTTTCTGTGCCTGGCTTATTTTACTTAACATTTTCTAAGTTCATCCATGTTGCTGCGAATAAAGTATATTTTTGAACATAGAAACTGAATCAAATAGTCTTAGAGAAAAAAAGGAACTTTGTAGAAATTTATTTTTAACTATATGCTAAAAACAGGATTATAGGAATTCATAAATCTTTCTTTGAAGTTAGTAATTTAGACAATAACTGGCTAGAACTCAAATTTAAGGGAAAAAAGCAAGGAAAGAATCACAAGTTTCTCCATTATATATGTGCTAATACTGTACTTAATATAACTTAACAGTCACAGTAAGGAAAAGCCTGGAAAAGACTAAAACAGTACATTTGACTCCTATACCCTTAGTTGTTAATAGCACTGCTAGGAAGAACTTCATTTAAAATCTAGGAGGGAGAACTGTGGTTGCCAGGGGACAAGCAGGGATTGTAGTTCAAATACAAAGAGGTAGCACCAAGGAGAGAGGGAGTTCGTTTGAGATGATGGAACAGTACTGTATCTTTATGACAGAGGGATTACATGAATCTACGCATGAATAAAATTGCAAAGAACTAAAAAGGAAAAAAAAATAAGAGCAGATTAAAAAAATGGTGAAGGGCTGGCCCGGTGGTGCACTGCTACAGTGCAGTGCTCCCGCCGAGGGTTCGGATCCCACATACAGACCAGCCGCTCACTATGAATAAAATTGCAAAGAACTAAAAAGGAAAAAAAAATAAGAGCAGATTAAAAAAATGGTGAAGGGCTGGCCCGGTGGTGCACTGCTACAGTGCAGTGCTCCCGCCGAGGGTTCGGATCCCACATACAGACCAGCCGCTCACTATGAATAAAATTGCAAAGAACTAAAAAGGAAAAAAAAATAAGAGCAGATTAAAAAAATGGTGAAGGGCTGGCCCGGTGGTGCACTGCTACAGTGCAGTGCTCCCGCCGAGGGTTCGGATCCCACATACAGACCAGCTGCTGACTGGCTGAGCGAGGTGCGGGCGCAACACCAAGGGGTGCGATCCTCTTGCCGGTCCCGGTCCGGTACGGGCGCGACCCTGAGGGTTGCGATCCGTTGCCGGTCACGAAAAAAGACAAAAAAAGGAAAAAAAAAAAAATGGTGAAAACCAAATAAGGTCTGTAGCACAGTTAACAGCAATGTACCAATGTCAATTTCCTGGTTTTGACATTATACTAAAGCTATATGAGATGCTGCAACTGGGGGAAGCTGGGAAAAGGGTACACTGGACTCTTTGTATTATTTTTGTAATTTCTTGTGGGTACATAATTATTTCAAAAGTTTTAAGTGAATTAGCTTTCAGCCCTTTGTTAAAGCTACAACAATATCTTCAATCTCATAAGCAAGAAGAGAGCAGGGTTTGCTTTCTTGGAGGCAAAGAAAATACTTTTCAGTGTAGTTCCACCACCTACTTTAATGATGATAAATAAGAAATGGTGGCTTGAGGCACACTCTGGTGGCCAGGTTTAAATCCAGTTGCAGATGATAATCTAAAGCCAATGTTGACTAAGCAATGGGCATATGTTATTGAGGAAAAATTTCAGAGCATGTGAAATACACTCTGCCTTCACTAATTCTTCGGAGGGTAGTTGAACGGGGCACATTGACCAGAGCCCAAATATTGAACCATGTGTCACTCGCCCTGTGACTTCTTGGCAGGAAAGGATATTTCTTACCTCAGCAGATTTGGACACACCACCAGCGCCTGAAGTATGTCTTCCACCCTCTTTGGGATATCTCCTTGTCCTTCGTGTAGCTGAGGTACACATGCCTGTGCCAGCTCCCATTCTCCCCTCCGCAGGCACTCACAGAAAAATCCAAAAAGTTGCTTCTGGGAAACAGCTTCCTCATTCCCAAATGGATGATTCATTTTCCCAGCACAGGGTGCAGGGAGATAGAAAGCGATGAGTTACGCTGAACACATTCTGAATTTTCTCACTTGTGGAGTATCTCCTAGAAACACACACGAGAGTGAGAAGAAAGGAAGGAACTATAGACAAACCAGCAATTACTGGCCCGACTTGGGAAGGCAGGACTTACTTTCCTAATTATTGTTTTAAGTTCAATTTGACATTTTACTGTCTCTTTTGGAGAACTGCCACTTTCTCCACAGGGTGGAGCCCACCTTTCTACGCGGATTCTATATTTAAGAACATTAATTGCTGTATATGCACATCCATAACTCCACTTTCGTATTCCCTCCAGAACTTGATGTCCAGTCTAGTTCCAAATGCCTAGGTGGTCGCATCCTCAAGGGTGAGAAATTCAGAAGGAATCCCCCTAGTTTGAGCCCGCTGTTAAGGCAGAGCATTGAAGATCAGGACACGAATCTATGTCAGAACTGGAGAGCGGTGGGGGTGGGGATGGGGCGCAGGGACACTCTCCTACGGGGGTCGTGGAAAGTGCCGCTGCCTTCTGCTGGGTGCCTTAAACTCACCTGCTCCCGGCGCCCAATTGAAGAGAGCTTCCAGCGCAGCCATGTTTGAGCCGAGTCAGGTGACAGATCCCACTCCGAACGGTGGTTGTGGGGTGGTGGTGTCGTCTGAGAGCGATACTCCTATTGGCTCAACGGAGGGAAGATGCAAATAATCGCCATATTTGTTTGTCACGTGACTGCCCCTCTCAGGACTAGGGAAAGCTGGGAAGCTCGAAAAGAATAAATCAGCTACCTGTCCATGGACCATCCCTTTCAATTACCGCGGCTCCTCCGCGCAGCACCTTCAGTTCTGTATTCGCCCCAGCAGGTGGCAGGGAGAGCTGTGCCGCTTGATTTTTCTCTTCCGCTCTCCTTTCTTCCTAGCATTTGAAGTCAACATTTACGGAGTGCCAACCAGTGACAGTGACCTGGATCCTCCTCCATTAATTATTATTCTGTCTACTTGTGCTCTCTTATAATTCCGAAACTCTGCGGTCTGAATCTCTATGTTCCTCCGCTTCACTCCATTCGTTTATTTGCTCACTTACCTGACCACTGTTAGTTGAAAGGCGTGGTAGGCCCTATTTTAGAAGTCGAATAAGATGTGGTCCCTCGCCAGAGGTGCGCACAGGGGAGATGAGAGCAAAGAATGAGCAAAGGCTTTTCGCAAATATGGTAATCTGAAACCACGTCTTAATGTAACGGTTTACTAGCTTTCCTCACCACAGCTGCTTTTACAAGGGACCTTCTGTTTGGTTTTTTCATGTTCTTCGATTACGCACTCTCAGGTTTCCCCAATATATATGTTTCAGTTTGAGCAATTTCATTCAGCATTTCCCAAACTATTTCACCACCAAAGGATGGTGAAAAGAGCAAATTACAACAAACTAAGTGTTCTCTTTCAAAAACCCTCCTGTGATAGGAGTCATCTATTCCTCAGGAAACTAACATGCCTTTCTGGTCCATTAAGCAATTTTTAAACGTAGTGGTACAAGAACGAAAAGAGAAAATTTCAAGCCAGAGTTTCCTTGCTGCGTACTCTTCTTGGCAAAGTTCCTCCACCGGATTTTGATAATGATTATATTGAGAAACAAGTTCTGATTCGTTTCTCACAGGCTGACTACAGACTGTGAACTACAATTCCCAGCAAGCAGCGGAGCCAGCCTGGAGCTCTGCCCGCCTCTGATTGGATAAAATAGTCACGGGCCGACCCAACCAGCGCTTCGGTTGTTGCTTTGCAGCGCTTTCCGCGGGGAACTGTTTAAGGGGTGGGGGAAACTTTGAAAGTTGGATGCTGCAGACCCGGTACTGGACAGTTTCATGTGGGGGTAGTTGTGGGGAAGGGGGGTGCGTCATTATTTCCTATTCCCTCCCTAGGCCCATGGGTGTGGATGTCGGGGGAGCGGAGCTGGGCACGCCCCCTTATGCGGATAGGGTCTTCCCAAGAACCACGCCGCGTTTCCGGGGGCTTCTGGCCTCCTTTGAGGGGGATGCTTGGAAGCTGCTCTTCGTTGGAGAAAGCTCTTTTTAGGGTGTTCTGGATGATGTTTTCACCTTTTGATGCTCCCCTCCTCCCACTTCGGGCAGTTTGGGGTCTAGGCAGGGGAGCCTGTCATTAGAGGAAGTTTGGGGACTGTCCAGATTCAGGTGGCGTTGAAGAGCGTGGAATCTGGAGTCACATTCCTGGATTCGAATACGGGCGCCACCAGTTGTTAGCTCTGGGACTTTGCGCAAGTCTCTCAACTTAGTGCCTCAATATCCTTATCTGTAAAATGAGGTAAAACATCCGAAGCGCTTGGAACAGTGTCTGGCACGTGATTAGGACTCAGTAAGTTTTAGCTATGAGTATTACTAAACAGTTTTCATTGAACATCTAACATGAGAATTTTTCTTTTTTTGGTGGTGGAGAGGTGGAGGTTCAATCTCCAGGGTTGAATATTTCCCCTCATCTCCAGTTACACACGCATACACATACACAACAAGAATTTACATGTTCTAGTGGAAGGAACAAATTTGCAAGCCATAATAATAGGTTGATAAGATTATCGAACAGATATTACAAAGTGTGATGAGGGGAGGAAGAGACTAACTCTGGGGAAGGCTTTGTGGAGGGAAGTTAGGGAGGCAGGACGGAGCTTGCATAACTCACCAAAGAACCATCGTGGTCATGTGAGAGACTGCAAAGGATGTTTGCTGAATGAATTGGTAATGATGATGATTGCTAACCTTGAGCACTATGTGCCAGGCACTACCCAAATCCTTTAATTCTCAATACAATCTTATAAAGTATATATTAGAATCATCCTTGTTTTTCAGATGAGGAAACTAAGGCACTGGGAGGCAATGTAACTTTGCCACGAAGGCCAGGATCTAAACCTTGCCCGTCTGATGTATAACTGAGAGGGAAGTGAATAGCCAATTTCTGAAGTTTTTAAAGTGGGATCCTAAGAAGATTGGAATTTATCCTGTGGTCTAATGGTCCCATGGGAAGTTTTAAAGGGTAAGAGTGACTTTTTAGGAAGCTACTTCTGGCAGGATTGTGACATTGATCTGACTTAGGCAGGCCAGTGTGGGACTTCTTCCTGTTTGCTCCCATAGCACACTTAAATAGCAATTACAGTACCTTCTGCATGGCTGTAGTTATTTGTGTATACATCTCTTTTCATCTCTTGACTGTGAGTATTCAAAGGGGTGAGAATATCCTTCAGTGATTCTTGTACCCCAGAGCTTAGCAGAGTGTGTGCTTAAGAAGTGTCTGTGGATGGATGGAGCAAATTAAGGAACAAATGAATGGAAGTGGATTTTTTTTTTTTTTTGTAGAGTGGCAAGTGACCAGAAGCAGTGTGCAATAGTTCAGGAAAGTGGTGGGAGTGGCCCTATTAAGGCACGGGTAGCAAAATTGGTTTTGTTAAAGTCCCTGAAGCTTGGGGTTTACATTTTTTAAAAAATTGAATTTATCAGTCTAAATAGTGTCATTGCCCAAACCTCCTGCTGGGAAAAGAAGCAAGGCAATGATAAAGCAGATGTCACTTGGTAAACTTTCTATTGGAGAAACAGAAATCAATACTAACAAATTCCCATTGAGAGAAATGATGGGGGTATTTTTGTGTTTGTGGGAGGTGTCTGTGTTTGTGTGTGTGTGTGTGTGTGTGTGTGTGTGTGTGTGTGTGTGTGTGAGAGAGAGAGAGAGAGAGAGAGAGAGAGAGAGAGAGAAGCAGTTTTAATTTGATTTAGATAATTTAGGTGTTAACTAGAAATCTGGGCCAGGTGTTGGAAATAAATATCTACATTCTCAATATATGTTTTTCTTCCAAAATGTTACTTCTTTTCTGATAATTATATTGCTTTATTCCCTGGAAAAATGAAGACTTCCTGTTTCTACTCTTTCCGGAAGATACATTGCAATCTTAATGAGATACACAATCTCTTCTTTGCATGCATTATTAAGGGAATCACATGATTCTGTTCTAGTTCTCCTAAGACTAATATTTCATGAGCCTCATTTACCCCTAGCAAAGTACAACAAAAAGAACAAAATTTGATTGCATGTGGGAATGTAAGCAGCTAGATAATAATAATTTTGGTTTATAGATAGCACCTACAAAACATAATATCTCATTTGATTCAGAATGTTTGTGCTGACTCCTAGAAAAAGGAAAGATTGAATATGATTATGGACTTGCAGTAGAGTGTAATGGTTAGGAGATTGACCTCAGAGTCAGTCTGCCTGGGTTCAATTTCTGGACTAGCCATTTACTTTTTCTAGTGACAGTGGACTAGCTAATCTCTCTTCAGATTAGTATTCTAATGTGTAAAAAAAGGGCCAAAAATCTACTTTCTATATAGGGCTGTTGAGAAGATTAAATGTGATCATTTAGGTAAAGCTTTGGAACAGTACCTGGTATATAGTAGATGCTCAATAAATTTGTCTGTTATTGTTACAGTGCTGTGAAAGTAAAGACTTTCTAGGAGTTGTGTTTGGAAATATGCCTTGAAGTTTAATTACAGATCCAAATAAAATTTATAAATACATTGAGAAATCTTAAGATATACAAATGTGAAGTGGTATATTCATGTAATAAGTATCAAAGAATTGTGTGAAATGCACATTTAGAGATTGCCTTGTTTCTCTATGTGAATGTTTGACAAACAGTTGTCTCTCCTATTTAAAGCATTTAAAAAGATTCTATAGCCTTTATTTTAATATTTTAAATACTGTACATTTCATTTTGCATATGGAGAAACTTGAAGAACTTTTTATTTTGTAGAGTGTTTTCGATAGCACATCCATTATTACTTATGATATTTTGTGATTTTTTTTGAGGTTCCTCTTTTCTTTGCTGGATCTGAAGGCATGGGTAGCAAGAAACTAAGACGAGTGGGTTTATCACAAGAGCTGTGTGATCGTCTGAGCAGACATCAGATTGTGACCTGTCGGGTAAAATTTAATTTTTTTCACTGAGAAATTTTGTATACTTTTTTTTTTTTTAACTGGCTGGTACAGGGATCAAACTCTGGACCTTGGTGTTACCAGCACCATACTCTAACCAACTGATTGAACAGGCCAATCTTATGTACAAATTAGCTTTAAGTATACCTTAATTATTGTTAAACCTGAAATATGAAAACTTTGGTTTCCAAAAAAAAAGATAAATAATGTGTTTTTCCATAGGATAATTTTAAATAATAAGCCACTTAGATTGCATTTCCAAATGTGATTTTATTTACCCAAATTCAGCATTTTTCATTTTGGGTGGAGAATGGTTATGGCATAAGGTGAAGTTCACCTGTGCCATTTAACTGGGGTGCTAGAGAAGATTTATTCACTTAAAAGAAATTTTGTAGTTACATGACAAATATGACTCAAATGAGGAGGTAGTATTCAAAATAGATAATTGCTCTTGAAAGCAAAATAAGTTAACAGTTAAAACCATTTTCTTATTGATGGAGCCTGACAAATGTATAAAGCAGATGCTGCATTTTTAAGCACAGTAGTGAAGCAAATCCCTCTTAGGAGGGTAAATAAGATTTAAGATTTTATCTTAGGATTTTATCCTTCATAAGACAGTTTTTCAGAGCATACCCTCCTTTTTTTTTGAATTGCTTTTTGTGTTAAAGGTATCTTTGTTTTTCCCATCACACATTTTATTATTTATTTCTTTATTCATTTTGTGGCCAGCTGGTATGGGGATCCAAATTCTTGACCTTGGTGTTATCAACACCACACTCTAATCTGTTATACATTTTATAATCCTTTTGGTCATACTTTGAAATGCTCTTAAAAGTATGAAATTTAACATTTTGTTCCATATTCAGTTTTATTCTTTCTCAATTGTCAAATACTTTCTCTGGGTGAACTCTTAGGTTAGAAAGAAATTCTTTCTGGTCATATATTTGTGCCCAAACTCTTTCTGGCACAAGTACAGTGCTCACATAAGCTTGCATTGGATGCTGTTGCTGTGTGATGTTACTTGGTGTGTCCTTTGGTATATGCCTACTAAGCTAGATAATTAGAAGGTAAGATTATGTCAATAGTGGTTACCAGAGGCAGGGAAAAGGAGGGGGTAGGGGGAGCACTGGGGAAAGATTGGTAGACTAGTACAAAGTTACAAAGTTACAGCTAGATAGTAAGAATAAGTTCTGGTGACCTAGGGTGACAATAGCTAATAATATTGTATATTTCAAGATAGCCAGAAAAGAGGATGTTGAATGTTATAACCATAAAGAAGTGATAAATATTTAGATGATAGATATGCTAACTATTCTGATTGGATCACTGTACAATAAATGCATGTATTGAGACAACAAATTGTACCCCATAAACATGTACAGTGAAAAAAAAATTCATGGAAACAAGGGGGGAAGAGGGCACATGATAAAGATTTGAGAACATGAGAGAGGGAGAGGGAAGATTTTGAGATGATCAATTGGGTAATGTGTGTGAAAGTGTTTTGTAACTCTAAAGGGTTCTGCTCCCACAATGAAATGTTATTTTCACTTATCCAATGAAATATACATTTATTGAGCTCAAAAAAGAAAAAAAGAAGATAAGACTATGGTATCATATTTTAGTTAAGGCATATTTAGGGGGAAAATACTATAAAGAATGCATAAATCTTTGATCTGCAATAAGTTATACTTTTATCTATACATGGGCAGTATCAATGGAAAGTTACCTTTTCATTACAGTATCTTTGTTACACATGTATCTTTAAAATATTCTCTTTATGTCTCTTCAGGACTTCTTATGTCTTTCCCCACTGGAGCTTATGAAGGTGACTGGCCTGAGTTATCGAGGTGTCCATGAACTTCTGTGTATTGTCAGCAAGGCCTGTGCCCCACAGATGCAAACGGTATATATACATATATATATATATATTTTTTTATTATGATTTGATTATTAAATAATTCTTTATCTCATTTAAAATCTTTTTTTGAGGGCCAACCCATGGCTTACTTGGGAGAGTGTGGTGCTGACAACACCAAGTTAAGGGTTAAGATCCCCTTGCTGGTCATCTTTAACAAAAAAAAAGTCTTTTCTGGGAAGAGGCAAGAGCAAAAATAGAGACAAGCATCTCAAAAACATCAAGTCTTCTACCATAGAGTTAGTCCTCTAATAAGAGTATTGTGAAACATGTATGTAGTTTATGAGCACACACACACACACACACACACACACACACACACACACACACACACACACACACAAAATCCTGTAGGTCCTTCTTGTCTTCTAATAAAACTCAGCTTTAGAAAGCTTTAACCAGAGGCCTGATTTACAAAGGTCTCTAATTTAAAGTAGTGTTTGTCAGGATTAGTTCCAGACTCTAATTTTATTTTTATTTGTGTCTGGAGAAATAGTGACACTGATTTGAGTTTTAAAGACTAGGTGAAAGGAAGTAACATGAAACAAGCAGACACAAGAAGAATCAGAGGCTTTTTCTCTATATATTAGACCTCTCTGATGGTACATCTCACCAACAAACACTGGGATAACTTTTTCCTTTTCATGTTTGAAAAAATTGGAAAAGGCTTCGTATCCATATCACCCCAAGTAAAGATTTTTTTTTTTTTTCCTTTTTGTCTTTTTTCGTGTCCGGCAACGGATCGCAATCCTCAGTGTTGCACCCGTGATGGTACATCTCACCAACAAACACTGGGATAACTTTTTCCTTTTCATGTTTGAAATAAT